TCGTCCGAGAGCACCTATAATGAAAAAAAAAATGGAAAAAGCGCTAATATTATGGGTAGAAGATATGAATAAGAAACGGTTGCCTTTAAATAAAAGTGCAATAAACACAAAGCCTTAAAAATATTTCATTACTTAAAACAAATGGGACAGTCGTCGGCTGATGAAAGCAGTGTTAAATTCGTGGCTAGCAATGGCTGGTTTGAAAAATTCAAAAAACGCCATTCAAACACCAAGTTTTTTAGAACCGAATCCCAGTTTTTGTATTAAGTTGGTGTCTCCTATGACGCGATTTCCCACAACGCAGTATTTTCAAGGAACTTATCTACCGCGCTGTAGGAGGCCTACCTGTACTACAATCTCGAAAACGAACTAGAAATCTTTCAGGATACAGATGAAAAACACATATTTGTCTTTTTTTAAACGCATTAAACACGATTCCACTCACATCAATTTAATCGGAAAGAGCATTCTAGGTAGCTAGACTTTTCATTATTAATTAAGAATTATATTGAGTGATCGGAGTATTGACAATCGTTGCTCTCTAAAATCTTATAAAAATTTACAATAGTTTATTATATTATATTTTATTTAAAAAACGAAAATTTCCTTCTAAGTTAGAAGTTGGATTTAAGTTCATTTAAAAAAATTTTTTTTGTTAATGTTGTATGCAGTTTCCAGCAAACTTTAATAAATTTTTTTTTATTTGTAAAAATTTCTACGTAATTCAAATGTAATTTTTAATATATATCTTACACAGCATTATTAATATGATTTTGGAGGTTGAAGTTAAATTATTTCAAAAACAAAAAATAATTATATCATTACATTTCATGATATTTTGTATATCTTAAAAATAAATAATTTTGTCCCGGGATCAGTACACTTTTATCCCGGAATCTCGAGACAAGCAAAACACCGGGGAATGAGAACCCTAGTTCTGTAGCACGTGTCAAATGGAGTTCTTGTATTTTCGTACAAGGACTATCCCAGACTAGAACAATTACACCGCATCCCAAATGTGCATTGGCACTTTCATACGTCACAATCTAAAGAAAATTAGTGCCTATATCTTCTACATAGTATATAGCAATGCTCATGCCGAACGAGTTTTCTCAATGATTTTAATGTGGAGAAATGAGAGAAATCGTTTTAAAGTAGACTCTGTGAAAGCAGAACTCCAAATATGTAATAACTTCACAGAAGAATGCCAAGTTATGTATAAAAGACTTCTTGCCAACAACAAACTACTGAAAATGGCATAAAAAGAACAAAATATAAAAAGAAGGCAGTCATGTCCTCAGGTTTTTTTTTTGTTTTTGACAAGACTATGTCTTGTTTATAAAAGCGTACTGCCCGATATTCTTACCAGCATAGAGGTATGAAGGAGTACATATCGAGAGTTGGTATTTGGCACAGAGTGTGGCGACAGCTTTGGTGATAAATCCCAAAGTTGCGACAAGGAGGAACCACTGAACTGAACAGACCTGGCAACCTGACCTATGACATCACATTCCTTTTGGATTCGGACCTCGCTCCAGACGCATGTATTATCGCTCCCGTGTTTAACTTGTACAGTCGCACCATATTTCATGTATGTACTGTAATAAATTTTAATCTTTTATTATATGTGACCTTGTTTGTAGTGATTAATTACGCACAAACAAATATCTACACAGAGTATTAAGTGCCCAAATCATTTTCGCATAAAAAATCCAGACTTGTAAGTAGTCAGGGGACCGAAAATCGAGTCAAAATAAAATACAAAATGGCGACTTTCTTCTACAAACAGGTACCTCACCCCACCGAAGTCAGGTAAGGGAGAGTACGTGTCACTTAGATTTTACAAATACGTGAGCCGTTAACAGCCCGGCACACGTATTTATAAAATCTAAGTGACTCGTACAACATGGAATACATATAACACTGAAAAATCAACACTGTTATAGGGAGGTCGACTGTAAATTCATTTAAGTTAATAGAATTTAAGTTTATTAATATTAGGGTTGTCATTACATTCGATGACATTATAATCGAGTTAAACTGTATATTGTTTGTGCAAAATAAAAAAATAATTTCGGGCGATACAATAGCCACGATTATTCTTTTAAAAAACGGGAACTTTTTGTTACGCATCGACAAAAATTCAACCCGGACCGACACGCAACGGAGAGAAATTTTGAAATTGGATAGATTAATTTCTTGGGAGATGCATCGTGGACGATCTCGTGGTCGTGGCCGGCGAAGTTTGAACGATCGCGCCCAAAAGCAGCGATATCAAAGAAAATAGAAGAATGAGAACGAGACCTGCCTTGAGCCTGAAAGTGATTCTGTCGTCGAGACATAGTCTTGTCCCAAATACGGTTTTGCCGTTTTACTTGTTTTAATAAAATATAGTGGGTGATCGGTTAACGAACACTTTCTTGAAAAATGTTTATCTTCAAACAACGAACACCTCACAGAAGAAACACAAGAAGCGACGTAAAATAAAAAATACCGATAGGTCTTCCCTTGTCTTCAAACAACAATTTGAAAATTTTCGGGCGCAAGAGACGTCGACAGCGACGCTCAACACGGTATATACTGATCGTATAGTATTCCTCCGAATTTTGAAACTCTCCCTTGTAATTACGGTCTTTTATTTTTCTGACAGAAACAATTCTTTTATAGTATTCGTGAGACCGTCGGGCGGGCACCCGTTACGTTTTGCGTCGGTTTTTATTTTTGAAAGGTGAGAGTATACTAGCAAAGGTGGAGGAGTATGGCCAGATGATGTCTGATGTTGCTGGTCAGTATGGTTTGAACAGGTCTACAGTATTAGGTGCCCAAATCATTTTCGCATAAAAAAAATCCAGACTCGTAAGTAGTCAGGTGACCGAGAATCCAGTCAAAATAAAATACAAAATGGCAACCCTTTTCTACAAACAGGTACCTCACCCCAATTCAATCTTATCTAAGAAAAATACAGTATAATGAAGAAGACTCGAGCAGCTAAAGAAGTAAAAAAACTCACATTTGAGAAATAAAGGAGACTGAAGGAATCATAACGGATCTGACGACAGAAGAACGCCAAGAAACGCGGCGAGAAATGTTTTCTTCTGAAAAAGAGGATTAACGCCGATATATGCTATTAAAGATCTTTTGGAGAAGTGGGAGAATGTCAGAACAACGGTTTTAGAATGGCATCCAAAGCAGGTTGAGGTTAATAAACTTGGAAATCTCTACAATTACAATTACTTCTGAAAAATCCTGAAGAGAAAAAAGCAATGGACATTAGACAGATTGTTTAACTCTCACAAACGGAAAAAACATAACTAATAAAAATGCAAGACTGTGTATATATGTATTTTTATTATTACATATAAATTAACGTAGTAAAAAAGTATATACTTTTAAAATTTTTCCAAGTCTTCAGAACGAATTAATCAAATTCCCATGAAAACCTACGGTAAATAGATAATCCGTTAACAAACAATTCAGATAATGAACAGTCTTGGTATGGATTATGTTCGTTAAATTAATTAACTGATCACCCACTGAACTGTATTTTTGTTTTCTTTCTCATCATTTCTTGCATCGATATAAACCACACTCGTACCCAGCAGAATTAAATAAATAAAAAACTTTAACCAACACCTTAATATTCGCCGAGAGATTTTTAATGTAACAAACGTTTTCGATCTATTCGATAGATCATCTTCAGGTTAAAAAGAATATTTCTTAAATGGAACAACAATTTCAAAATTCAAAAAATATTAATAACCAATGACATTTCCATTAATAAGAATAACTAATACATTGTAAATGATACAAAAATGTAAAATTAAAAACGTATTACTCGTACCAAACATTAATACTATCTATCCTAACTAGACATAATTCCCTTTAAAATATACTAGAGTTCATGCGCCTCTTGTAAGTTTTTAACGGCATATTTTCAAGCTGAAGGAAGACCCTCTGCGTCCCTTGCATTAATGCATTTTTCTTTTAGCTTGCTTATGTAAATTTCTATCTTTTCAGCTGTTCTTGCCAAAGTTGGTGAGTGTATCTGTTTTAGGATTTTTGCTTCATTCCATCGAACCAAGGATCCTTCCGCTTGCGCCATCTGGGCTAGTACTGTTGTATTAGAACCTTTCCTGATATCATACTTGTGTTTTTTTATCCTTATTCTTAGGTTTCTAGTAGTAACCTCTACATATTCTTTATTTATACCTATTAGCTGGTTCTCGTAGAGAATCTTATACACACCCGCCTTATCTTCTTTTTTAACTAACCCTTTATCGTTTCTAAGTATTTTATACAAATTCGGGGCTCTTTTTAAGATCACCCTTGTATCCTTTATATTTGCTATTTCTTTCATAATCCCTCCTAAATACTTGTTGTAAGTAAATTTCGTGTACCTAGATAAACCTTGTCTAGTACCTTTATCATTACTGGCCTCAAATTTTCTAATAATTCCCTCGATAACATTCCTCTTATAACCTAATGTTCCTGCTATCTGTATAATTCTTTCTATCTCTGTATCCCGGTCTATAACGTTTTCACAGTATATAAAAGCCCTTCTAATCAACGCTCGAAATGCTGCTAACAATTTCAGGGCTTCTTTCCGTGCTTGTTGTTAGAAAAGTAAAGGAAAAAGTTCTGCGTAGCTTCGAAAGGGATATAGTATACTACAAGAGATATGTAGATGACATATTTATAATTTGGAAAAACAATCGAGTAATTGCTAACTTTGTAGATAGAATTAACGAAAACGAAGAAGGCCTTAACCTGAAGCTAGAGCAAAAAATCTCCAGGATGGTACATTTCTTAGACATTAATATCGTATTTAACAAAAAGCGTATATCCACTAGCGTATTCATTAAACCAACACATAGCCCACTATATATCCCTGGAAGCTCTAATGACGCTTATAGATATAAGTTAGCAGCGTGTCTTAAAATATTTGTTACACATATGACAAGAATATAAGTGTTCATTGCCGTGTATAATAATATGCCACTTTAAACTAGAACCGCGTTGAAAACTTTAATTACATACCTCACAAGTATGGACAAATTGATTATAAACTACTTCGTGATGCCAAATAGTGTTTTGTTTTAATATATTTGTATGTTATATCACAAGTACAATTGAATTTATTATTATGAACGATTTTATAAGCTATCAAACATTTTTATTAAACCTTTTCTTACATACCTAAGAAAAATAGTTACGTTCATCAGTATGAGTTTCGTAATGGCGTTTTAGTTGCATTTTCCATTTGAAACTTTTATTACAAATATCGCATTTGAAAGGACGTTCTTCACTATGAATATTTTGGTGGCTTTTTAGTGCCCCTTTCCATTTGAAACTTTTATTACAAATATCGCATTTGAAAGGACGTTCTTCACTATGAATATTTTGGTGGATTTTTAGTGGCCCTTTCCATTTGAAACCCTTATTACAAATATCGCATTTGAAAGGACGTTCTTCACTATGAATATTTTGGTGGCTGTTTAGTGACCCTTTCCATTTGAAACTTTTATTACAAATATCGCATTTGAAAGGACGTTCTTCACTATGAATATTTTGGTGGATTTTTAGTGGCCCTTTCCATTTAAAACCCTTATTACAAATATCGCATTTGAAAGGACGTTCTTCACTATGAATATTTTGGTGGATTTTTAGTGGCCCTTTCCATTTAAAACCCTTATTACAAATATCGCATTTGAAAGGACGTTCTTCACTGTATGTTTTTTTATAGCGTTTCGGTTGCCTTCTCCTTTTAAAATTCTTATTATAAATATCGGATTTGATAGGTCGATCTTCATACTTATATTCTTTTCCACTTATCTTGCATGCATGAACTTTATCATTTCTTGAAAATGACTTCACTCGATTTCCAGATAGCTGCAAACGTAAATTTATGTGAGAGATTTCGTTTTCATTTCTAGTTTTGTGTTCTTTCATGTGTCTTCGCAAAAGAAATTGCCACAAAAACTTCTTATTGCAGGTTGTGCAGCAAAATAGTTTTTTTCTAATATGACAGAACAGATGTGTTTCAAATATTCTCTTATTTGTAAATGTATGTTTACATAATTCACACGTAAATTCTTGTTTAGAATCTGATGCGATCATAACCTTAAAGTATTTCCTTTTAATCTTGNATTGCAGGTTGTGCAGCAAAATAGTTTTTTTCTAATATGACAGAACAGATGTGTTTCAAATATTCTCTTATTTGTAAATGTATGTTTACATAATTCACACGTAAATTCTTGTTTAGAATCTGATGCGATCATAACCTTAAAGTATTTCCTTTTAATCTTGTCATGAATTTTATTGCATTTTCTGCTCGAAGAAAAATATCTTTTTGTTTTGATATTATATTTAAATTGTTTTTCTATTTCTGAATTCTGCTGGATATTGTATTTCTTAATTTTCTCTTCTTGATCAACTGAAAGATTAAGAAATGACATTATAAATTACCTATTATATTTCAATAAATATAACATAGTTTCAATGTTAAAATATTGGTGTTGAAGTTATATAATTGGTAAAGTAAACCTATGTTTTTCATTTAAAAGCAAGGCATCATTTGTTGTTTACACTAAAAGTAAAACATTTTACACTTTACAATCACGAACTGATTGAATCAGCTTTAATTCTTTAGCGGACTTTTAAATAAGTGTAAAAAATTAAACTGTTTCACTTTTACTGTTTATATTTATTAAATTTATGTAGTTTGTTCCAGTGGTTAGCACAGAAACGTGGAAGAAATCGTATGCTTTTAAAGAGAAGAAATCATTAGTGTAAAAAAAGTACCACAGCAAAAGCCTATGGATTTTAAGTAGAAAGGCAAGATCGGTGTATTCTTCAGATCTTTTGAATAATTTTAGCGTATGTCCAGTAGATCTGTACAACGTTTATCAAGAATATTAGCAACGTTTTAGAAAACGCATTGCATATATTCACTTATTTATGTTATTAAATTAGTTATATGGCTTTCGTTCACTTCGATACAATACATTTTCTTTATTATTTTAGCGGATCCATAAACAAAGCAGATAACATGAAGCATTAAATCACAACTCATGAGTTGTTATTTAGTAATTGTGATCATCCGAAAGCATTTTTATTAACTACAAAAGTTATATTAATATGTTATAGGAGGATACGTATAATTCTGAAATATCTGATCCCAGTTAAATATAATAGTTGAATCTTGAATGCAGTTCTTCAGCTACCCTCTGAATAGTACTAATATAAAAAGTTTGAATTAAGTAAACATGTTACTTACTTTTAATGTTCGTTTCATTCTTGTTAAAATTTTCGTTTGGAGTGAAATATTCATTGTTGACAAACTAAACAATATGCAAATAATACATGACAACCAGTAATAATTACTTATATAAATCAGTAACGAGTTGCTCAACTTTCCTGGCAACGTTTTCAAATTTTAGTGGCGTGTCTTTAATAAAACGTTTTTAAAATGAAATATTATATTTTTAATTATTATAGAAAACAAAGAACTGAATTTAAATGAATGAGTCCGACCCTCATGGAGATAATGAGGATCGTGTTTATGTCCTTAATTTCTTGATTTTTCACCAGCGAAATTCAATAGCATCAATTTCACTAATAATCAAACTTACCAGCAAAATTTCAGAAATTTTCAACAAAAAGAACAGGAGTTATTAAGTGTCAAAGTAAACAAAATCGTGCACCTCCACACACTAACATCCATACAAACAGATAAAACCCAAGATTTTTTGACACTTGAAGGAATTCTAAATTTAGAAATGTAAAAATCTTCGGAATCAATAAATGACTCCCAAAGCTTTTTACATTTCTAAATTTGACCGATCGTCACTACGTTCCTTTTGTTATATATAACAAACGAAAAAGTAATATGAAAATCTTATAAATTACAAATGCATTTTTTGTGATTTTATATAAGCAACATATTAGAAAATTGTATTGAAATTAATTGTTTTGAAATTTTTGTATAAATTATTTAGTCTTTTAAAGAAATTAACATAATAACAAGCGAGTCTCTACATCTTCCATCTTGTCCGTTGAGAAAACATATTACTAATGAAGTAGGCTCATTGTACTAAAAATCTGTGTTATTTGTAAAGTAATTTAGATTTAATAATTATTTTTGACTTTAATTAGCATCGTTTCTTTTACCGTACGATTTAAAAGTAGAAAAATTGCAATGCGTTTTGCCTGTTTTCACGCCATCATTTTCTTGAGGGAAATATATGAAAATTGTATACGCAATTTACATTACTTGCAAAAATATTTAATAATTAAAACATTTCTGCATTAAAATCGCTTGTTTCTTTACAGTGTAATTCATAAATGCTTAAACTATCATAATTTTAAGAAAATACATCGTACAGTACATTCAACCCAAAACAGAGAAAAAGCAAACGTTTGAGCCGAACTCCTACTCGTCACGTTTGATGTTCCAAACGACATTTTCAAACTTGTAAAATTACAAGATGGCGAAGATCGATGTTAACGTTTTAACGATGAAAACTTCGGTTGCAACCTCTGTATTATTTATTTGTAATCAACTACTATTTAAACTAGATAAAATTAGAAATTGCAGTGTTTATTAATTTGTTGTCATCTCTGTTTATATAATTGTAGTAAAAGTTCATAGTATTGTAAAAATAAATAAATCTGGTATTTTGTGCCCTCATCGTTGCAATTGGCCTCAAAGTAAATTTTGCCTACGTTTCGTAAATCTTAGGTCCGCCTGTATATCGGGCAACCTTTCTCAACATGTGGCCGCATCCATTGTGGACCTGACCAATGAGTCTGAAATAAGAACTCATTGTTTATACTCTAATTTATCGTGCAAAAGTACTCAAACTACATATTGAGAGAGTTTAAAACAGTATAATTTATATATATAAACTAAAGTTGAAATTCGCTTCTTACTTTTAAAAATGTTTTGTATTTCTAAGTTTAAATCCAATNATCAGACTTCCTTAAATTGTGTTTGTTGTTAGCATAGTTTGTGAAATGCATTTCTACCATTAAAATTAACCATTTCTTCACTCTTTAATAATTAAAATTATAGAAAGTGTTTATAACACATGGCGCCAATGACAATTTTATTTATTTTTTATGATTAATAATATAAATGTTATTTTTTAAATAAAATCACTTAACTGCCAGGAAACTTCCACAATTCGTTACTAGATTTTTTCTTATATAATACATATTTTTTTATTTAATACAGAATACACCTAAAATCAAAGCATAATATTCATTACTGATTTTGAGCTATTAAAGTTTCACTGTAAAATATTTCGAAATTCCTGTTACTTACCAGTACGTTTTCATCATCATCTGGGAGATAAACAACTTCTTTATAATCTTCAGTCTTTACTTCAATCTTCAATTTTTTCAAAACAACTTTACATTCTGTTTTTATACCATGTTTTACATCACAATTCTTTTTTATTTCTTCTTTCTTAATATCTGTAGTGAAATTTACAAACTTTTGTGTTAAAGAATTCTAAAAAAAATTTAAAAAATAAAATAAAACTGAACATATTTTAATTAATTAACATAACAATATTAATTTACATCTTTCACTACATCATTTATTTCTGATTACAAACCGAAAAGTGGCTTTGAGTCACGGCAAATTGCTGTGATGTGATATACAAATTATAATAAGTACGATTAAAAACTTGTTTTCGTTATTAAATGGACCAGCAACGAGTGCTTAACTTTTCCGGAAACATTTGATACTACGTGTGGCGCCATCTCTTATGATATTTTGTTTTAAAACTGAACATATTTTAATTAATTAACATAACAATATTAATTTACATCTTTCACTACATCATTTATTTCTGATTACAAACCGAAAAGTGGCTTTGAGTCACGGCAAATTGCTGTGATGTGATATACAAATTATAATAAGTACGATTAAAAACTTGTTTTCGTTATTAAATGGACCAGCAACGAGTGCTTAACTTTTCCGGAAACATTTGATACTACGTGTCGCGCCATCTCTTATGATATTTTGTTTAAAATGTTTATATTTTTAACGATTATAAAATTAAAAAATACTTCATTTTGAGGATAAAGATGTGTTTTATAAAAATCGTATATTAGAAAATGAATAGACTCGTTATCATCTCTGACCCTACTAAAGATACTCACGACCCGCATTATCTCTATAACCCCCTCGACCTTTAATCACAAAAACTTAAAAGCATCAATCCCATTAATAAACAAACCTTCCTTCTAAATTTAAGAAATTTCGACAACAAGCACAGTAATTATTAAACTTTGAAATAATTGAATAAAATCATCGTCCCTCTCCACACACGCTGACATTTATTTATGCATACAAAATATCTTAGAAAATTTTTAATTTCTCGTAGTTTTAAGTTGTCTTAAGTTTAAAAATGTAAGAATGTCCGTAACGACTATTTTCTGACAGACTTCCCTTCTGTTACATATAAGAGCCGAGAAAGTAAAACTTAGTTAAAGTGTTAAATAATCAAGGATATAAAAATATTCAATTAGAATCTTACAATCATTTTACATGATTGTAAGATTCTCGTAGTTGTAACATATTATATCTCATAAGATTCTATTCTCATAGTTGTAACATATTACAATAAATTTATGTTAATTAAAGTTCAATATTCCAATGTTTTCCGATTTTAGACGTTCTGACCATCCATTAGCACAACAATATAAAATACGTCGACAAATAAAATTACAAAATTCTATTTGTCGACGTTAATAAGTTTGTTTGAATAGATGTATGTACATGCACTGTACAGTGTGTTACGTATCCGCGTCACTCCCTCACACTTCGTTTCAAATATAATACATAAATGTATATGCAATAAAAAACTAAATTTTGATAGGACAGATAAGTTTTATTTATAGATACATAAAATTAGTACTTTAGAAACTTAGAATCTGTGAGAAGTAACAATACATTCGAATTTGTGCACCCATTAATAGAGAAACCGCTATTTTCAGAATACATATATTGATAAAAACAGTAAAATAAATACAAACAGGCTTTTTCAGCATTTATTTTAAAAAAGTTCGAATTTATTTATATAATTAAACTCTAATCAGAACAAATTAAAGACTTGTAAATT